GTATCATACAGATAAAGGAATTGTATGTTATTACAATGTGGCATATTAAAATGATTTATAATTTTCTCCTTATAATATCATATTCATATTCACTCAGAGATACTATACTTAATGTTACTGAAAAAGCAATTATTAAATTATAAAAATTCAACATTCATGGTACAAATATACTTTGCTTTCAGAAATGCTGCACTATTTTCAGATGAATTGATGTTAACCCAACCAAAAATTGATATCCCTGGTTTATTAAAAAAAAAATCTGCAAGGTACGCATTTTGCTGGAAATATCAAAACTTGCGCTTATGAAATCAGCCTGGAACCACATTTTTATGACTTATAGAAGAAATTAGGCCCTATACTTAGAGGGTAAGTATTGCGTCTTTTAGAAACCTCAGCTTGCTGAAAAACATTTGTATGCTATAGATACAAATTTCAAGGGATAGAAATGAATATAGGTCTTAAACATTAATAATGATCCAAAGATGCTGCTAAAAAAGGTTAACTTTCATGAGGTGATTTTTCTAAAGCAGTTTTAAAAGGTTAACAAATAGAGCTAACCTTCAAAATAAGTTCAAGGATACTTCTCCAAATATGTAATTTCTGTTTATGTGGAATCCAGATTAAACGACTGCAATATTGCCAAAGGAAAATAGGCTGTTTTTCTGGTTACATACAAATACCTTTAAAGGCATGTTTTGGGAGTCTTTACATTTTATTTTCAATTTGTTTCTGCTCAAAACAAGAGTGCAAGCTGTCCATTTAAAAAAGGAAGAATAACAACCAGAGGTTATACAAAGTCTGCTGTTTCTAATCACCATGTCAATTGATATACCCAGTTAGAAATCTACCTCCCCAAAGAAGGAAAATCAGTATTTATAGAACAGCCAGCATTTCAAATATATGATTAGTGTTATTACTATATTCTATTTTAAAGTTCTTAAGCATTTTACCTGTAACCAACAGGAAAAAAAATGTTGCCATTTTAATGGGATGTTCTGTGAAGAAGAGTTTCTGCTTACATCACTTCATTTCAGAGCATCTGCTAGGACAACCAGATTGGCTCAAACTGAAACAGTCCAATTACTGACACAGACTTTAAGAGCCTACAGGGTTTTAAAAATCAATGATGCTATAATATTTGCATTCGTAAAAAGACAGCCAAAAAGCAAACTAAACAAATGCTGAAAGTGTATTCTGCAACACTATTTCAAAGTATTCTTCTCTTCATTCATATACCCAGTTTTGGAGATATAAATAGACACAACTCCATCAGCATTGCCTATGTATAATGGGCATTGGCCAAGACAATTAGGAGATATAATAAATATTTTGAAAAAAATCAGATAAAAGTAATTCATACACATAGTTATTTATACATCCCATTTTAACCTTAAATTAATGGAGGTCATGAGAAAAATGAAAGTCAACATGTAAAATAATCTTACTTTACGTTTATGGGCTCTTAAATGCTGCTCTATTAGAGAATGTTATTGCCCACCTAAATTATGTATGTTAGACTTTTATATTAGTCCTGAAGGTAAGATTATGCTACTGTGTGTGCTTATGATTATGGTGTAATCATAAGAACCCTTGGCACACAGGTAAGCCGAAGTCAAACTCAGAGGAATGACATTGCAGATATATGAAAAGTAACCTTTAACTCTCTTTTATCAGTAGGTCCTTAATCAGGGATTAGATCAGAGAGGTGGGACAAAGGCTTCTGATTTGCTGCAATTCTTGAGAAGAGATTCCCTAGGGTAGTCCAGACAACCATGGACAAATTCAATACGAAAGAAGAAACTAAAGTGGCTCCCATTCAAAGCTCATTCATTCAGTCATTTGCTGATTCTTCTAGTTATTCAACATATTTTTTTTCAAGGACTGCAGAGTGACAAGAAAGTTGCTAAACACTGTAAACACAAATATTTGAGTTACTTTAGGTATAGAGACAAGCAATAAAAATAAAACAATATGGTATGTAGTAATAATGGATTGGTTGTGGTATCGAAACTGCAGGTAACACATTTTCAAGAGAAAGAATGCCCAGTTTGTTCAAGAAAGATAAAGCCATAGCATCCCTAAAACTAAGTAGGAAGGTAGTATTTTATAGAGCATAGTGGAAGGAAGCAAAGTTGTCAGAATTCAATTCATAAAGACTCAGTATTTAAGGATCACATTTTGAACAACTGCATAAGTGAATACAATTCTGTAATAGAAGCCCTGGTGTAAAACATGGGAGTCTTCACACAAAATGTCCTAGACAAGTTTACAGATACATGGAGGTGCTTCTAGAAAGAACCATAATAATTTCGTTAGCCAGGTTATTAAGGAGGTTCTGGAGAATTAAACAGAACTCATCATAAACTTTTGAGGGTTTTTTCATAAATGTGTTTATGTGTATGTGTTTTTGTATACTACTGTAAAGGATATAATCCTAAGTGTAAATGTGCACACATGTGTCTCCCCAGCCTCCTCCTCCCACACCAACTTCTCTCAGGTAATTTACCTGTTACTGGAGGAGGAGAAGAATAGAAATTAGCAAAGATTCTAGACATGAGCAAAGAAATCCATGATTTTGATTTTAAGAGTATCAGCAAACATGAGTAATGACGAGAATAGTTATTCACTCAGAACAAGCTAGACTCTATGCAAGTGACAGATTCCTGACTTCCCAGCAGAACTCACTTTATCTTTTTTCGAATGATCTGAAACCTGCCCAGGGCTAGAATTGTTTTTAGTCATCCAAGTCTAGATTCTGGCTTACTTCCCTTCTTTTCCACTGAGAAGCAACTGATTGTAGCTTTTGATTTTTCCCTCTTTGTCCTTAGGACAACATGCCAGGTTCCATGCTCGGCCATGCTGTCTCTGAGACACGCAGAAGCATAAATGCCCCTTAGGAAGTTCCTTGATTTTGTCAGCATAACCGCCAAATGTCCTTTTCCTGCTTTCCAAAGTACCTTTCTGGATTTAAATGAACCCATTTTATAAGAACAATAACCTTCCAAATGATATTTATTGTAATGTAAAAACTACACTTTCTAGAAAATATACAGTCCCTGCTGAGCAACATAAAGTCATTAGTTCCCGATAACAGGTATTCCTTTTCACCCTTTAAATTCTAAAGCTTGCCATTTCATTAAAGTTTGAGAAATAGTTCTACGATTTTTCTCCTTTTTTTTTCACTCAACAGGAAATTATACAAAAGAACTAACCCATCACTTTTTACAAATAATATTCATCATGGAAATATAATGTACATGGTTACAATTCTTCTCAATTACTTATATCCCTGAATGTAAGTTGTACAGAATCACACATAACACATTTCTTTCTTCCATTACTCCTTTCTTCATATTTAAGCTTCTATATTTCTACAAGTAATGATTTGAATTCAAAAAGCATTATCAAAAGAAAATAAAAAAAGGTTATATAAATGTCACAGCCTTGCTGCAAATTTTACATGCTCTTGGGGAACTCAACTCTGTGAAAATCTGGACTGGGTTTCTACTGTAAAGAGAAATACATTTAAGTGTGAAATAGTGTTCCTGGCAATCACTTCTTGACACAGAATAGGATTGAAAATGTGTGAAAAACGTCCTTCTCCTCATCACACATTTACACATGCATTGCCCTCATTTTTCTTTTCTATAGAGTAAGGCTGGATCTTCATAAGAAAGTTCAGAATGCTCATTCCCTTCTTCATCTATAGAAGAAGAGTTTTTACAGCTCCATATATACTTTCAGAAATCAGTGCATCAGAACCAAAACTGGCTTTTCTTAAGGCAGTAAAAGGTGCTAATATAGAAAAAAGAATGTTGGGATGGGTTTAGTTGTCATTCTTATGAGTTACAGAATAATGATATTGTCCTACACATAAACTATCAAAATAAATCATTAAACAGTATTCTGCCAATACACTTGAATTCCTATTATATTAATTAATTTATACTTTGGTCTCTGACTAGACTTGGAGATCTTGAAAGCAAATGTGTATCTTCCTCTTTTTATATCTTCTCATAATGTCATTTTTTTCCTTAAAAAACAATGTAATGTCTCAGAGATTTTTTTTTTACTTTTGTAAGTAATATGGCTATAAGAAAAATTCTAGAAAAAAATAAATAATGAAATCATTCAAGTCATATCACCCAGTAATTGATTTTCTAACAATGCTTCAGTTCTTTTCTCTTGAATGTTTTTTAACTCGTCTTTTCAATTGCGTCTTTTCAATATTTAAGTTCTTCATTAAACTTTATTTTCTTTTTAAAGTCTTTTAAGTGAATTTTTAAAAGTAATATGTTTACAAAGAAAATTTAGGAAATATACAAAAGTATAAGGAAAAGCATGAAATAATTCATAATTCTACTGCCAAAGGAGAGCTATTTCTATTTCTATATCCATTCTTTGTAACTAAACTAGGATAAGATTCATCTCATATTATGCTTTTTACTTACCTATTGATGACTAATTTACTGTCTTTAAAATAAATATTCTTAAAAAATATAAAATTTAATATCTGCATAATTTTCCATCTTGTTTCTATAGGAAATAATTTAATCTTTCCCTATTCAAATATTTAAGAAAAATAAGGCAATTAAAAACATCTGTTTAAATGTCAATAACATTTCTTACAAACTCAGTTTTTTTGGAGGAAATAAAGGCTTATTCCTCTTAATTTTTTTTTCATAAATTGAACTAATATGTGTGTTCTTTAAATCTGAATCACTCTGGGTACTGCTTGCTCCATTTTTCTAGCATAATACTTTTGCCAAGAAAACAAAAAAAGAAAGAAAAGAATACTTCGGCATTTGAGATAAATATAGACTTTCTCATTTTAGGTGAAAATTGACTTTATAGTACAACTTTCTCAAACACGATTTTCTGCAATATTATAAACAATATTTTATTTAACCTAATAGAATTGCTGAAATAATGAGACACATTCAACATGTTTAAAATTTTACTTTCCACTGTAAAGGAAAGAAAGTGTCAGAATTGTTTACCTGGGGATATGATATAGAAGAAATCTTTAAATTCATCCATCCAAACTTCTGCCAGCCTTCTGTTATTTTTGTTAATGACATGACCAGTGCCACCTGGGAAAGTGTATGGAGTTGCCTTCCGAAAAACATGACCCACGTGGGAGCAAGTCACAATCTCCAGTGAGCCTCCACATTGCCAAATCTGGGGAAAAGAGCAGTTGTTGTGTAAGAATCACTGTAGATAATACAGTGACATTGTCTGAGAAGCTACTGAGGCTACGGTTAAATCTCCAGATCTTATATGGTGCAAACAAATATCAGACAGATACAAAATTTAGAACTAGTATACTTAGGTTTGGAGAGGGTTGTAATTTGGAAGCGCTTAATATATTTATATATTGTAGCATCAAAATTGTGGAACTAAGATATAACTATTTTCATGTGCCTTTATTAAACTACCTCATTTGCAGTTTCTAGTAGTTAGTCAAATTGCTCTTTAATAGATATTTGGCATCCAAAATCTGCTAGGAATGAATGAGGATGTACATGTTAGAAGTCATGGTCAATAACTAAATTTGATTTGGAGAAAAATCAATCAATTTCATCCATCTGGAATTTTTAATGACCATTAATTATCAGCTGTCCAATATCTCCTGTATCTTACATTTTGGGATATGTTATCATTCTTATTAAGATATGCTAAGTCTCCTTTACATCTGCTCAACACTGACACATCCTCTGAAGTCAGCCTCGTAGGTAATTTCTTCTAGGAAGCTCTGTGGGAACATTGAGTAATATGTGATTTTGTATTTTACATGTTTTCACGAAGAATTGATTATGCTGTATTGTGAGCAGTTGTTTACCTCACTATCTCTCCTTTAAAACTAAGAACTCTTGGAAAACATGTCATATATTTCTTGGTGTCCTAGATTTACTGGAAAGTTAAGGTTAGATATTAAGTAAAAATAGCCATAAAATATTTATTTCTAAATAGCCATAGGTCATACAAATAACATGTGCACATATGTATTCTATATATTCTATATATATATATATCACCTGTATATATATATATATAGTATACACAGATACTACACACTCTCACATATATATTCATTACATAATACTTATGTGCTACAGCTTTTTTTTATCCCAATAAATAAAAGTCATTGCTATATGCAATTGGAAGGGCTTGGTTTTATACTGTCATGAACATTGCTCTTATTTTAAGGAAAGCTGCTTATTTTGAAACTTAAAATTTTCTCCAATTGATCCCTCAAATAATGCTCATTGAGAGGAGCGCTGCTATTGGCCTTGGGTAGCAGTCAGAGACATTCATTTGTATCAGATGAAAGATGCTAAGTAACAAGTTACATTCATCAACAATGGTTTGTGCATTACATGTACAAGCTATTCTTTTACATTTTCTAATTACTTAAACAGTGTAATGATAAAGAAGAGAGGCTCCAATCCAACACCAAAATATAAATATAAAATATAAATGAAATATAAAGGAAGAATGGAATTTACCACTCTTCTCAAAAGACTGGGTTGCTCATTCTTTCTTTTTTTTTTCTTCTTGACAATGATAGTTTCAGTATACTATCATTATTATTAATATTACTATTTTTATACAGAGGTACATATAATAAAGTGCCCAAATCTTAGTGTACAGTTCAATGAATTTTGACAGGCATATATACTTATACAGCCATCACCCAGATCAAGATACTAAATATTCTCATTAATTTTATTCCCCCTTCACCTGTTTCACCCATTCTCCCACCCATCTCCCAAAGAGCAACCACTAGTCTGTCCCCTGTGTCTATGAATCCATTTCTGTTTTGCTCTCTCCTTTATTTTTTTAATTCCACATAAAAATGAAATCCAGTGATAACTTTCCCATCTTTCTCATATTCAATCTATAAACCTTGTAATTACTCACATCTTTACATTCTTCCTATTAAAATGGAGGCAGTTGGTCCTTCTCCTGTCAAAGACAATTCAATGCTTACATGTCATTCTAAATCATATCCTTCATTCTACTTTAAGGACCTCACTGGCCTGGTCCTCCCCTTGGTTTTCACCTGAAATATCAATCATTTCCCCTATTCTAGATAGTCTATTTCACAAAATATCTCCTAAAATCTCCTGTCTTTCAAATAGATTTAAAAAATAGATAAACAAATAAAACAACTACAAAACCCAATGAAAAGTTTATCCCTTGGTCCATATTCCCATCTAAAATATCTCATGTTTCTGTTTCTTCTCATGTAAATTTACATACAATTTTCATTGGTATATGTAGTTGTTTCCCTTTCTCAATTTTCATCCATTTTTCTACTCATTGTGAAATGCTGTTTATTTCCACAGCTCCCCCTAACTGACATGGTAAAAATCCCAATTTTTTTTCCTTGATGAATACCTAATAGACTCCTTTCTTGGATTCTCTGGCTTTCACTCCTTACTCACTCTAAATTGCTATTTAAATGTTAGCCTTCATCTTTATTTATTCTCTAGGTGGTATTATGTGTTCTTATTATTCTACATATGATCTGAATACTCCAAACCTCAACAGTGACATTTCAGCCCAAACTTTTCCTCTGTACTCTAGACTTGTATATATCTAAACATCTACTTGATACCTCCTTTTACATATCTCAAAGAATCCAAATAAACATGTCTGAAGTACAGTTGTTAATTGATCCCCACCTTGTCTGGGAGGTCTCATTCTCTTTCAGTCTTTCTTTTTTTGAATCACCAGTAAATGGTATCACTATTCACCTGACCGGTCAATTAAAAAAAAAAATAGAAAACTCCTTAAAAGCCCAGAAGTTGTCATTAATTTCTCCATTGTTTCATCACTTATATTCATTCTATTAATCAATCCTGGCTGCGCTGTCTACAAAATGATTCTCAGTATAGCCATCTTTCTGTCTCCCCTACCACCATCCTTGTCTTCATCACCAACATCTCTTGTGGGGCAATTGCAATAGACACTTAATTATGTTGCTGCTTTCACTGCTGCTATCTTATAATTTATTTTGTACTGAGAAATCAGAATGGTCTTTTAAAAATGTAATCATTTCATTTTACTTCCCCGCTTAAATACTTCAATGGTTTCTTATTACACTGTGAATATAAACAAAATCCTTAAACAGGGCCTCTAAGACCCTACATGATTCTCCCTGCTTGTCAATAAACGCTGGTGATAATGGCCCTCTGCCATTTCCTAGAATAACAAATCACATACTCTTTCACACACCAAAGCCTCAACAAGTGCTTTCCCTATACCTGGAGTACAATTCTGTTTTGCCCTTCATTTGACTGCCTCTTTTCCATACTTCTCATCTCAGCTAAAACATCACATCATCAAAAAGGTCTTCTCCAGTTACTGTATTTTAAGTGCCCCATACCCATTATTTCCTCTGAGAGCACCCTGTTTATTTCCTGCATTGCTTAGCATAATCTGCAGTTTATTTATTTGTGTGGCGATGCCTATGCATTTTTTTCCCCTAACTAGAATGTAGACTTTAAAGGGAAATGGAGATGTCTAATCATTACTGTTCTCCCCAGATCCAAGCCCACTGCTTGTTACAGGTAGGTGTCAACAGTATGTTGGTTGAATGGAAGAATGGATAACTCAGATTTAATTACCCACATTAACATAAAAAAGGTATCCTTGGCAGAATGATGAGACCTAAACAGACATATTTTGGAGGGTATGTCAAACGGCATTTTTTAAGAAAATATTTTCGGTATCACACTAGGCAGAGGTGTAATAAAATCATATATAGCTGCTGACTCCACACACCTTGGAAATTGAGGAAGTTCTTCAGAGGTCACAACACAAGAAATACACATTAGAAATGGTTGATGGCTTATGACAAGCAAGGTAGGTAAATGATTCCATCTTAATTTTTAATGTGTTACCAAAGTAAATATTTAGCCAAACTAACACTCTTAAAAACATAATCTAGTAAAGTACTCAAGTATTTGTACTGTGACCAGGCCATTCAACCAATTCAGAAGACATAGCATATGACATGTTTTACTTAAGAGGAAATTTAAGGCACTCTCTTTATTGTGAGGAATACAGTGTTATGGTGGAGCTTGCCTTTCTCTCCCATGGATTAGGTATGAATGAGGAGCTGCTTTCTTCCTTCACCCATGTCATATAAGGGATCTAAGTAAATAAAGGACAGATTTGCATTTCACTCCCTGGGATATTTGCTGAGCAGTAAAATCAGCAGGTACCTGGTGCTGCCATCAGAACACAGCATAATGTGGTGAGTGAGTTCATGGAAAAGTCTCAAGTGTGGGGAAGAATATAACCCTGGTAAAATGGGAAACAATTCTTGTTTAGAGAATCCTGAAGGCAGGTTGGGGTTTACTGGACAGCTTATTCCAGCAGAATTGATAGGCCCTATGACGCAGTGACCCTCAGAGGGGAATGGTCTATGGAGACAATTGGATAAGACTTTAGTGGTTTCCAAACTCTACGGAGCATGGAATATAGAGGAGAAAAAAAAAATCAGCTGTGTGAGTGGCAATACGGGAGATCAGCGAGGAGATGTGCCACTGAGAAAGGCAGTTGGGTGAACTTATAGAGTGACAGACTAAGATTTTCCTCCCCAAAAAGCCCTTAGATAACAGAGGGGATAGTGGGTGAAGCTGAGGACACTTTTAAGAAGACTATCATAAGGACTGAGGCCACTAGCAGCACGTGAAACCACAGTAAAGCAACGAGAGGCATCATAAAACATGGCAACACATAACCTGCCACTTCTCTAGCTCTACTATTTGGCCCTGGATGATACTAGATGAGTAGCAACCCAGAACACCCTGCCTTTCCCTATTCCAAGTGCTTCTGTCAGCAATGGGCCTAGAGAGAGGAGAAGGAGAGCTATGTATTGCTTATGAAATCAAACTTTAACCTGAACACAATTCGTATTTTTAAAAACTGAAAGTGTCCAGGAAGCTATAGAATATGTCCGAAATGACATCAGGATTGGAAAGGAATATTCTTCAGAGCATGAAGCAATGGTCGGAGAAAAAGAATTAAGTTTGTACCCCACTCAATTTAGACAACACAATAAGCTCCATTGCAATATAAACCAGTGATTGACAGTTATCCTCAGGGCTCCCAATATGCTTTTTGCGAATACGGATTAGCACTGTCGTGTGTAAGGGAGGGCACTC